CTATTTGACCTCTTTGTCTTGTACTGAAAATTATTAGACACCGCATACATTCTGAGATGATGGCACAAGTCTTCCTTGGACTTGTAAATGCTGTCAATTTGAAGAGTGGTTGGGTGATAATGTGAAATAACGTCCACCGAATTTGAGGGGAGTCTCCTCCGTTTAGTTCGGTTGGTTCGCTTGGAATAGTTTGAGGGATCAGAATTGGCATTTGAGAATTCATTTGGCGTGAGTAACGGTGGGTATTGGCATTCGGTTAGTTCGCTTGGGTCGTTCGAGGGATTGGCTTGGGCACTCAGATGAGTAGTTGTGGCAGTAGGCAAAACCTCCATGCATAATGGCAGATATGACAAGTCGGCTTGGTGGGACTTCAACTTCAGATAGAACAAAAGTTCAGCGTCGTCCACAATGACGATAGGCGGAGGACATAAGGCAACCATGTAGGAGAACCGAATGTCATTCTGAGACCAATCCATTGAAATGTCTGCCTTGACAGTGTCCATGAGTGTTATTAGAGAGGGTTCACTACGGACATGAATAACAGTGCCGTATTTCGAAGTGAAATTTCCAAGATTGTCCCACGATCCATCAACGCGCAGCAATACCTTAATACTTGAATCCATGAGTGCAATGCCTAGAACAAAAGAAAATTTTGGGTAACATCAACGTGAATAAATAGCCGAAGCTCAACATGAATAAATACAGGTTTTGTTATTTGGGGTAACATCAACGTGAATAAATTCACAGACATAATTTATTTAAATTGAAATAAAATTAACTCGTTTGGCATTGTTGTGTCATAAGAATTAGTGGAATTGTAACCAGAAAAATCTAATCTTTACCATCTAGAAGGAGCACTGCCTAATTAAATTTGCTTAACGAGAAGCAGGATTAACAATAGCTAAACAATGGAGAATAATAACAACACAAACCCTACACACGGATATGATAGATATAAGCAAATTCAGAATGATCCTGACTGACCGGGGTGGGCTATGAGCTGTGAAAGCTTCAGCCGGGCTTCTGCGGAATTCAATTCCAAAGGTGCGATAATCCTAGGATTTGGAATGGGGAAGGTGAAGCCTATTGTGGTACAACCGGCGAAGAAGCAGCCTGCGATCCACTCGTTTGGGGGGGGGGGGAATATTGAGGACCATCGTTGGAGCGCGTTATAATCGGCGATGGGATGTAACGGAAGGTGATTAACTCCCTCCTGAAATTGCGCAAGTGAAGGGGAAATGCGAGAAAGTGGAACCCATCAACAACCGCATGTGGAAGATAAAGAACGCAGGGTTAATTTAGGAATATTAGATATATGAAAACCGATGGAGGTGCTAGAAATGTAGAAAATGGAATGGGAGTGCTATATATGTATTTTGTAATACTTAAAGGTGCTATAAGGGATGATTTCTATAATAAAGGAGATGGAAAGCTTGGTCAAGTGATTGGTGGAATTGCTGACGTTAAAATTCTGACTGGATTCTTGATTCTTGACATAAGCTATACTCCCAAGAGTATAGTACTGGAATTCACTTATCTGAAGTTATTGGAGAATATGAAAAAATATTCCTTTTTTAGGATTAGGCACCATTAGCATCCACTCTCGAAGTTGTTGAAATGATAAATGAGTTTGTCTTATTCCTCATTCTCAGTGATGAAAAAGGAGTAATTGAGTTATGATTCTTAATGGCAAGCAGATGTCAATATAGGTGTTGATGCTTATTGGATAACATTTGAATTTTTGAATGAAATCAAATGTCCAGATGTTCGGGGATCCCAAACAAATTCAAAAAATAGTTTTGAAAAAAAGTGTACTGATTATGTTATTTGGATTGTATAATGGTACAAGATTAATTGTTGAAGAGGTATGAAAAAATGTTAACCGTGCAATCGTGGTTTCGAGAAATTGAGATGGGAAAAATGTTTACATACCTCGAATAAATTTGGTACCACATGATCCAAGGCTACCCCCTAAAGTTTCAAAAAAGACAATTTCCAATAGTTTCCACGAGTGAAAAAAAATACATAATTAAAAATGTTTATTTTAGATGACAATAGAAACTCTTGCAACCATACCAAAAATGTTGCATACTCTGAAGTGTTTCAAAAAATTTGGATTTTACTAAGTCTTTGTGTTGTATATACTTTCAATTCTTCAAATATTATTTATTTTATTTTGATGTTGATGTATATATAGTATTAAAAATCATGTAAGAAATTTATTTTTTTTAATCCACAAAAAATAATACATGAAAAAAAGAATTGAAATTTTTTTTGTTCAGCCCCGTGCATGGCACGGGTCAAAATACTAGTACACATATAAAGCTGCTGAGCGACTTAATTGTGGTGACGACACGTTTCATGCCACATGCATGTTCATGTGACACGTGTCATGCCACGCGTGTTCCTTATCGCCACATATCGTGCCACGCGTGCATATTAAACTTTATTAAATATTCATTATTTTATTATAGTTTATAAACTTTTCATCTCCTGATCTTTTGACTTTCTCACTAAAATAATATATGACATTTTCATTATTGTAATATACTTTATATAAAGGTTATGTTTATAAAAATAAAATAATTATAAATTTTAATTTTAAATCTATTCACCATTTTCTTTATTTCAAAAAATAAAGTTATGGATTGAAATATTCATCATTTTCTGTTTTACTAATTTTCAATATCTAAGAAGAGTTCAAAACCCTACTTAAGCAATAAAAAAAGAAAAATAATGCATCTACATTAAAATGAAAAAAAACAAATAATACATCTATATTAAAATTAAAAATACACTTCTATTAAAAATGATGTATCTTATAACTATAAAAAATAATATCACATATTATATATTTATAAAATTAAATAACTAAAATAAATAAACTTTATTAGTAGAATGTCAAAAAATTAGAATGTATGCGAGCCCGCGTGAAGCACGAGGTTAACTCTAGTATATAAATAAACAAAATACTCTCTTCGTCCCGGAGTATTTGTCCAGTTTTGACTTTTGGAACTGTTCATTTAAGCACTTTGACTCATTAAATTCTCTCAATGTGTATGCCTAAATATAGTCATGTGTGATTTTGTTTGATTTGTCTTAACATATACGGAGTAGATTATTAATATATAATTTCTATAACTTTTTAATATACAAATTACAAGATAAAATGGATTAAAGAAATGTATTGGATGATGTGTAAAAATGAAAGTGGACAAATACTTGGGACGGAGGTAGTACTAATTTTTTAAATACTCCTTAGTTAACATTAAAGTTCATTTTTGTACCGGAGTAGTTGAGTACTGAATTCACAAACTTCACAAACTCATTATGTATGGTTTAAATTTTCATTTTAAAATTATTTTAGACTATTTAATTTTTTTTATTAAAGATCACAAATGATAAGTTTGTAAAGTTTGAGTACGTGAATAAGAGCATTTTCCTAGAACCAGGCAACTTTTTCAATTCCCTTGGGAGACTACGAGCAACTTTATCAATTCGCCTGGGAGACTGGTAGGGAGGAACCATGATGAGAGCGCCGACCCCAAACAATCTGTCGAACCACCCGACTCCGGAAATTGAGTCTTCTTCCCAACAACCGCCTCCGCCGCCGCAGTCTCTACCTTCACAGCAGCTGAGCTCTTCTTCTTTAGCCTTCAGGGCTCATCCACTTCATCCAGCCCGACCCGCTATAGTCGATCTCTTTAACCTCTACTTAGGAGTGGTACCCACTCGAATCCACTCAATTTTTTTAGTATCTGTCAATTATCGTTTTCCGCCTGTCTTATTGCGTAGTATTTTTTTACCGTTCATACCAAGTTCAGTCTCATACCCTTGTTTTTCAAACTCAATTTCATGTCTCCGTGGAAGAATGTGCGGCAAAAGCTGGATGAACCAGTTCGTGAACCTCCGTATGTTTACTCTTTCCATCTCGATTTTGCTGCTTTTGAGCTACAGAAAAAAAAATAATATGGGGTGTATGTGGGTTGAGTTGGTCTTGTTTAGTATGATAGCTGTCACCTGCCTTTCCATACTCAAAGATTTGCCCACCATTTATGATTAGAGTGAATTCCTAAAATGGTTCTTTCTAATAAGATATTAGAAAGGACTATTTAGGGAATATATCTCAGTTACAAAGGACCACTTTGGTAAATATTGCTTATTGATAACTAATTTGGGAAAACACCTTATTAAAAAGGATTGTTTTGAGAATTTACTCTAATTATTATTTCATAATATATAATTCCTGCATTGTGCACTGGGCACCACATTCTGATAAAATACTTTGCCTTCATTACTTTTATAAACAAACTTTTTTGTATACAAACTTACTAAGAATCCTAGTCTGCACTTCATTGCTTTATATCTTGATCTTGCACTAAACATCTCATCCTAGTTATTCTACTACATTATAGGCTAAAGATAGGATCCACTTGTTCTGAGTCAGTAAAGTTTACTACCTGATTATAAAAAGCAGGAAATTGAGTGTTTAGTTATAAATGAATGTATTTTAGTAGTATATTTTTCACAAAAAAGGGGGAAAAATACTTTTCTTTGAATTGTTAATACTGCACAGGGCACACATTATTCATTTTAGTGCAAATGATTGTTTTTTAAGAAATTATTGTTGACCTTGTTTGGAAAATTATTTGAAAAGAAATACGCATCAAGAAATTTAAAAGATATTTGAGCTTATAGTAGATACGGAGTATATACTAATTTATTTATTTATTTTAGTTTCAAATTGCCAAATAATTTGAACTAAAACAAAAATTATTTCCAGGAACAAGGCACAAAAACGAGTTACTGCTCTAAACAGGGAATTTCCTCCCCAAAATGAACAGTTCCTCATAGATTTTGAGCACCTGCAGAGTCAATTTACTGTAAGCCTTGAGATTAAGAATATTTTAGATCTTTTATAGTTGCTTCCTTTCTTTTTGCCGGGAATAACACTATTATGCTTACTTTTTTTTGCTGGGAATACTATTATGCGCTGCATCTTTATTTGTCTGATGGTTTGGCAGGAACAAGAACAATTGCATGCTGTGACAGAAGCTGTTCTTATTTCTTTGGTTATTCAGTGTAGCAGCCATGCTCCCCGAGCAGAATTTCTTCTCTTTGCGATAAATGGTCTGTGTAGCATAGGTTACATCAATTGGGACACGTTCTTACCATCCCTTCTTTCTTCAGTTTCATCAGCAGGCGTGTATGTTGGTAAGGGAAATCAACTTGGAAATGCTGGATCATCTGCTGCCTTTTCACAATCTGGGATGCTGTCCAATTCCAATTCAGTAACTAATATCTCCAATTTTCAAGCATCAACTCCCGCATCACCTTTACCCAAAATCCACGGTATTGGATCTCCTGTACATTCTGCTCCTGAACCATCATCTTGTGTCACATTGTCCCCCCTGAAGTCATCTGATGTTAGTGGCGCAGGACAACAGTCTACTGCAATAGCTACACTTTCTGTAAGGGACAATGAACTAAACAGTCTGCACTTATGGTGCTGCAAAATAATTTTAACTGGTTTGGAAACTAATTTGAAGCCTGCAACACATGCTGATATTTTACACAATTTGTTGAATTGGTTGATTCGTTGGGACCAAAAACATGATATAGTTGACTTTGACAGTTCAAAACATTGCAAACTTGATAAGGCCTACATTGAGTGCCTACACAGTTGCTTAGACGTGATATGGTTGCTCGTTGAGGATGAAAAGTGTCGGGTACCCTTTTATGAACTTCTCCGGAGTGGATTGCAATTCATTGAAAATATACCCGATGATGAGGCACTGTTTACTCTTATTTTAGAGATCCACCGGAGGAGGGATTGGATGGCCATGCACATGCAAATGCTAGATCAGCACCTTCATTGCCCAACATTTGGCACTCCTAGACTTTTACCTCAGTGCACATCAAATATGTCTGGTGAGCAGGCAACTAACATGAGATACTCGCCAATTACATACCCTAGTGTGCTAGGAGAGCCACTACATGGAGAGGTCATACTATTCTCCTATGATTTTTGGGCATTGATACTTTATATACTAAAATGTTTTCAAACACCATATCCTTTGAGAATAGTCTGCAGTTTTCCTTTTAAGACCTCTTCACTCAGCTTTGAATGAGCTATAACAGACTTTTGCTTTATGTCTCTATAAGTAATGTGCAGATCAGAATGGAAAACAAAGAGCTCATTAGATGATGACAATGTACATTAAGATCACAGTAATGGAAATTAAGATGGCTTATCAAAATACCTAGTACAACAATAGTCCATACTAAAGAAAAAACTCCAACCGTCTTTATCTTACACTGTCCCATCTCTTCAAATTGTAGATGTAAGTTGGGTTTAAAATCCCCATAGGATGACAACAGTAGATATTATAATGCTAAAATGGACTGATAAGATTTGGAGCAATCTGTTAGCGCTGCAAATTGAAGAAAGTGTTAGCCCTTCCAAATTGAGTTTAGCCCTTCAATAGGATTGCCTAAACTTGTTCGATGAGTGAATATTTTTTAATAGGACGTTTTATTTAAGAATAGGAAGGATATGTAATGTTGATGAATCTTTGTGATTAATAATCTTTTCACAGCATTACTTTCTTTATTATTTATGGACTTTGTAGATTATTGGTTTCATATTCCCTCACATGTTTATCTATAAAGTATAAGCACCATTCACTATTAGAATATTCATAATACTTGCTTCAACTTTATTTTGTTGATACTCACCAGACCACCTTTCCAAGGTTGAGTGAAAAATGAACATGGTTTTGAATTGTTATTGTATGGTCACCTTTTCATGATCAAGTGAGAAATGAATATGGTTTAAAATTGTTTTTGTACATGCTAATAAATTATTTAGTTAAGAGTCATAGTTAGAGGAAATATAATAACAATGGCAAGATCACTTATTATCACAAACAAAGAGGAGTACTGGAGTAGACTAAATCTTGAGATATAGAAAGACTGTAGGGTAGGTTGTGATATCTGACTTATTCCATGCCGGAATTCAGTGTGAATCTTCGTCATCTTCCTCCCATCCGAAATTCCTCTTTATTTGTAGAGCCCAGGCTCCATCATCTGTCCCTTTATTTTTGTCAGAACAACGGCAACAATGGCGGGTCTTTCCTCCATCTCTATCGTAGATGCAGCCGGCAATGGCAACACCACTAGCAGCGGCAGCATGAGGAAGAAGGACGAAGCCTTGACACTGTTCATTATCCGACCTCAACTGCGCCGTTCAATCTAGGTTCTACATTTTCCCTTCACGAAGAAGGAAAAAGCCTCTTTAGCTAATTTTCTATTTTATAAGTCATTAATATTTCTTAAATGTTTTTTCCAGGTTTGTGCACTTGTAGCTACTTCAGCCAAAAAAAAGTTCTTCATTTTGCATAGTTGAAATTTGATTCAATAAGTGTTCACCAAACAACAAGGATTTGGACTTGATTCCATTTCAATTTTCTCCGAACACTTGTGTTTTTGATTTCAAAACTCATTCTCTTCCTTTCTGATTTCAAAACCCATTCCATTGCTTTGCTCACCAAACATGCCGTAATTTCTAGAATAAAGTAATGAATTTGTGCATTATTTGTTTTATACTCTTATTCCATTTAATATTTTTCATTCAAATACCCATGTCGTCCTTTCAAGAAAAAAAACCTTTGTAGTCAACCTAACTCCCTACTTTTGAATAGGGACAAGGTCTGCGTACACACACCCTTCCACACCATGGATCCAACTGGGTTGTTGTTCCATCAAACGTTGTCAACCATAGTTATCACGGCGCCAAGGCAAGGTGCGGTGCTAGTGTCTCCCATCGCCTAGATGACTAGGCGACAATTAGGCGACCTAATCGGCAACACATAAGAAATCAGGATTGGTATACATTAGTAACACTAATTTAAATATAAACATATGTGTTCTCTAAACCCAATCAAAATTTCAAATACACATACTTAAATAATATATAAACACACCATAATATGAAAAAAGAAAAAGAATATGAAATACAAAATATGATTAAAAACAATATGCGACTTCTTAGTGTAATGTAAATACTGTGTATGAAAAAAGTCACTGACTAAAAGGCATGAAAGATTTTCAAAAGGCAATGCCTGAATGCCTAGGCGAGGTTAGGCGATGCCTAGGTGAGGGATGCGAATTAAGGCGAGGTGATACTCCATGGTGAGAGGAGCTTACCGCCACGATGCCTAGGCGACGCCTTGATAACTATGTTGTCAACTGAAACTTGAACCTTTTTATGGGACAAAGAGAGTAGTATTTATTAAAGATGAACTTAAGAAAGGTACTAGCTTCAGCACTAAATAGAGTTTACATTTCACGGTATTTAAGAAAAGTAAAAAGTGAGTGGTTTAATCTTAGTTAGAAGAAGGAAGTGTTGTGAGCCACATATTCTTTTCCTAAATTAGAATGTAAGGAAGTGTAAACTTTACTTGGGACAACCCGAAAGGAAGGTGTAAAGTTTATTTAGGGAGGGATGGAGACATGGAGTAATATGTTGCTAGTTCTAACGTTTTAAATAATATATTATTAAAATTAAATTTCTTTGTTAATTGTATCACTCCCATTGATTGCATTTAGATGTCTGAGTTTACTTTCTAATAGAAATTTTACCGTATATGTATATATGTATATAGGATCTTGCACTTTCTATCCAAAGAGGAAGTCTGGATTGGGAGCGAGCAATGCGATGTCTAAGGCATGCTCTTCGCAGCACTCCCTCACCAGACTGGTGGAGGCGTGTACTTCTTCTGGCTCCTTGTCACAGACATGCACAGTCTCCGACTCCTGGTGCAGTATTCACGTCTGACATGATCTCCGAGGCAACAATTGAAAGGATTGTTGAGCTGTTAAAGCTGACTAATTCAGGTTTTTTAATCTGGGTTTTCCCTACTTCATTGAAATGTGTTTAGGTATTCCCTTCTGGCTCATTTTAACCTGATTTGTTATACCAGTTAGTGTAGTACTTTAAAATAATGGAATAATCTTTGTTAGTTAGAATAAAGTTATTAGATAATAGCTATGGAGGTGTGCTAGTCACCATAGGCAATCTATGTGAAGCACCAATGCACCAGAGTAAAGTAAAGAGGCATGGATGGAATGGAGAGGAAGGAGGGAGTAAAAAGTAATTGAAGCAACATGTATGTTGTGACATCATCCTTCAGCAAGAATTTTTCATTGCCCATTAAGAATAACTTATTTAAGTTATGCCACATTAGGATTAGTGTAGGGTTAGAATAACTAACATTCTCCCTCTGTTGGAGCATGTAGATTTATCATGCACAACTTGTTAGAGAGAATCAAGATAATGACCTAAACCCCATTTAGTGTTTTGGTAAAAGATCTCCTAGTTCTTAGGTCTTGTGTTTTTTTTACACATCATGTAAAAATCATGCTATTTTGTCTCTTTTTCAGATAAAATGATGGTCACCCTCTGTTAATCAGTCTCTCATGAAAGCCTATATTAAATGAAATGTGTATATTACCTGATTATGACACCACAACGTGCAGATACTGGCCTTTTGAGTCCAATTTTTGTATCTAGTTTCATTCAGTAGTTGATGCATCCAGATTACGTCACATGCAATTTTTGCTGTAACATGATCTTGTTTTGCACTCTATCAATTTCTTACTGTGAGAAATAGCCTTTCTACTTTCCTGGCAGGGGGTAAGGTCTATGTACACACACCCTCCCCAGACCCCACCCCGTGGGATTTTACTACGCTGTTGTTGTATGAGTTTCTTACTTTTCCAATTTCCATGGCACCAAATTTCCACGAGCAGAAATACAATAACTGGTCGTTGATTGTTGATAATCTATGGGTCTTGTGCAATCAGCATTTGTGAAACATTCAATTCTCATATGTAAGTGGTTTTAGTATATAATATCACACCTGGGGCCTTTTCAAATTACCCATTGACTTGCAATATAGAATATGCAATGTTAGGATGATTCACTATCAATTTATTCAATTTCCCTACTAATCTTCTCTCTCTGGTTCTTAAGAAGCCTCAACTTTTGAACTTCATTGTTGCTTAGGGGTCATAGTTTTATTCCAAGGTATAGTCCCTAAATTCCGTTTTTGGGTAATAAATTCAGTTCATACTTTCATCAGGAACGTAATATGCCCTTTTTATTCTTAGTTACCTCTGCAAGCCCAGGTTGTTGAAAATGAAAGAACACTTTAAGGGATGTAGTTATTACTTATCACATTATATATATCTTCTAGTAATGACATAGTCATTCATATAAACCACTTATAGGATAACACTTTTTCTAGAATGTAAAAGACCAACCAAATCTCCCTCTTTAATACCAAATTGTTCAATGGCCTGACTTAACTTCCAAAACTTGGCGTGAAGGCTTGTTTCAAACCTTTAAAATATTTGCAAATGCAAAAAACCTTACCATACATTACTCCCAATGGGCAACAAACTAGGTTCTTGGTCAATGTATATTTCTTCCTAAAAATTACCATGGAGGAATACATTTTTATATTATGTTGGTGGCTTGGTGCAAGGGCCAATTAGGTAGCAACCATTTAAATAACGTAAAGAAGTCAATTTTTCCACGAGAAAATTATCATGACAATCAACACAATAGAGTATCTTAATGCCACACCACGACAAACCAAAATGTCTATGAGACTTATCAGTGTGTCTTTCTTGTGTATTCCGACATTCATAAAGGCTACCGTAGTTATTCTCCTTTGTTATGACAACATTTTGTATCTACAAATGTCACTTTTATTGAGCCATCATTCCACTATACATATCATCCACACGACACACCCTTTATCTATCATTGTGGGACCACTTTGCATTTTCTCTTCCTATCCCAACTCTTTAATGTGCCATTCCAAAAATTTGCTCACTATGCTATTTCACATGGGGTGCCAGGGGTGGAGAGTGACCAAAATGGAACCCCTTATTTGAGTGGTACCTAAGAATTGGTTCTGCTCCCACTTGGTAATTTTGTGGCGGGACTTCGATTGATATATAATGTGAAACTTGGACCGATGGCACAAATGGTCACATTTAGTAATATGATTGTTAAGTTGTCACCTAATTGTCCCCTAGGCAATAAGCCGGTATACCTCCACTGATTCACCTAATTCTTATGTAGTCGGTTGGTCAGTTGCTTCATTGTCAAAAGTCGCCTGATCATCGCCCAACCCAGTTAAACGACGTGTATTTAGTGGGTGTTAAAATAAAAAAAAAGAGAACCGTAACTTGCCTTAACCTACACCACGTTCGGACTTCTTATACGTCTTCAAAGAAAGAGATAGTCATCGACTCATTATCTAACTTAAAATAGCCAGTCATCCTCATCTCATGACCTCATAAGGTTCAATCACTAATTCACTCGTTTGGGTGCCTTGATCCCTCGGTCCGTGTTCACTGTCGCGTGGGTTGTTTCGCTTCGGGTACAATTCCGCTTTGCAATTTGGATGCTTATTCCGGAATATGCAGTGCAGATTACAATGGTTGACTGAATTCATTTTTAATTTAATTTATATAAATAGTGGTATAAAATTTTAATGGAAAAATTCACATGAGTACTCCCAGAAATGGATGAATTTACATTAATACTCTGAATTTGAACAATTGGCGTCACTACTCCCACAAATGACACATTTTCACATTGTTAGAGCTTATTCTCTTCAGAGTATTCTTATTACTCATTCTTATTAGAAATCAAACCAGATCATATCCGAAAGAGTTTTGAATATAACTTGAATCACCCAGATCCACCAAATCACATTATCAGATTAGACTTTAATAAAATCAAATTAGGTCCAATCAGATCAGACAAAGAAAACATGCTTTTACTCCATGTTGCAAAGTGCCAACTCAACTAAATATGTGTCAACTTTTTATGGACAATTTATAAGTATGAGTTGACAATTATTAAAAATGAATCATATAAATTACATTTCAAAAGAAGCTACGGTATATCTTATCAAACTTTTATCTGATTGTATTTATGCTTCATTCTTAACATTTTGTTTATTTAAAATGATTGTCCAACTAGTTTAGTGTTACTTATCACTTTTGTATACTTTTAAAATGGTCATAACTTGAAATTATTAACTCGGTTCCTTTCATAAGACATACCATAGGATTTCTCTCTTTAAGACCTATCCAAGGAATAGTATTTTGATTATTAAATATTAAATTTAAAAATTATCTATTTGGTTGTCTAATATATATTCATAATTTATTTAAAAAAATATAAACGCATTTTAGTTTTTTAGTTTACACATTTAAGTTTTTTTCGCTTTAACTTACGAGGAAGGATGGGTCTACTTATAACACTCTTAGGTATTTTATTTATTTATCTATTTATTTTAATTAATTGCCAACTCATTTTTAATTATTGTCCGGGAAGCATTTAAAATGCCACATAATTAGCTGAGTTGGCAGTCCAGAGTAATAGATTATAAATGATTAATTTTTGGGAGCATTGACGTCAATTGTTAGATTTTAGAGTTTAATGTAGAATTTTTCATTTTTTGGAGTACTATTGTGAATTTTTCCAAATTTTAAAATAAAATTTATATGTTTAAAAACTACACCAAATGCTCTCTAAGACAATAGGTGACAAGACTATGTTATTGTAACAAATTATAAACGAAAATAAGTAAGAAAAGATAAAAGTTTGACCCCTGAATAGTATTGTGATTTTAGTTTTGGGACGGAGGGAGTATTATTTATTGTTTGTTTAGATCGCTTTATGGCAGAAGCTAGGGAAATGCTTATGATCCTTCCAAGGATCTCAAACACAAGGTTATTCGTGTCATTAAGCCTGAAGATTGAACTTTTATTTTCACTTAGTTTGTTATGTATTTTCCTATTCTTGTCAATAAGCCTTGGGATTGAACTTTTATTTTCTATTATTTTGTAATGTGGATGCTTTTTATTGTTGTCAAATGCCTCTTTTTCTTGCTGTAATATCTTGCATTAGGTTTAAGCTTGTGCTTTGGTATGCTACATATTGTTGAATACTGATTGTAGTATACTTTATAATTAATAAATTTTGCTTCATATGAAGTTCACTTTATAGGTTTTTCACTAATATGCATGCACGTATGTATATATGGGTCGCCTACTTAGTCGGGCATCTAATTGATTTGGTGTGAAGGTCTGTGACGACTCACCTCACCTCACCTCACCTCACCTTGTCGCCTTAACAACCTTGACTAGTAGCCAAAGGGTATTTTTAGATTCATGGGTTACTTTTTATTTTCTCTTTGGCAACCAAAATTGCTTTGGTATAATTGTTTTTTTTCCATTGCAGCTTTGAGTCACTGTATACTGTTTCAATTAGATACTCCCTCCGTCCCATAAAATCCTTGACAATCAATTCACGGAGTTTAAGAAAGTTGTTGAAAAGTAAATAGTGTGTGCTTATAATTTGTTTAGAGGAGAGAGTATTGTTGGTAGCCACATATTCATTGCCAAAATATGGAATTAACTGTAATGTATTTTTTTGGGACATCCAGAAACAGAAAGTGTAAGGAATTTTATAGGACAGAGGGAGTACAATATTAGAAACACTTTACTTCCTGGTGATTAACACCAATAAACTTTATAGGACCACTGTTTCAGTGAGGGTTTTGTTGCTCAGGGGAGTCTAGTCATGTGTAGGTTTTTTAAAACTCTCCATGTTGTTGTTTGGATGGTTCAGTAGTGATGCTCATGCAGTTGGCATGAGCTAGTGTGCTATTGATCATTCAGCCTTAATCATTCGGCTAAAAACAGTATTTGTTCAACACATTCCAGACAAAAGACTTGGGGATATAGAAGTATGTTCTTGGAATTGAAGTTGTGCTCATTCACTCAAAGAAAATATGCTTGGGATAGTCTCATACAGACTGATGCTGGAGTGTAGATGGGTAGATACTTCTATGGATCCCAATGTCAAACTTGTACCGAAACACGGGAGCCACCATCTTTCAAAGAAAGGTATAGAAAGCTTGCTGGAAAATTGCATTATCTCATAATCACAATAACCACCCCATTAAAGTCTAGCGATTGAGATTTGGGGTTGGGTGGGCATATGCAAACAACAACAACAAAGCCTTATCCCACCAGGTGGGGTCGGCTACATGGATCAAATGACGCCATTGCGCCCTATCATGTATCATATCTGCTGTGAGATTGTTCACGCCAAGGTCTCCCTTGATCAATGCTTGCCAAGTCCGCTTAGGTCTACCTCTTCCTCCAGCCACATGCCTATTCACCATTTGGTCAACCCTTATTAAAAAAAGACCACAAAGCAAACACCCATAATATTATTTGATAATCGCCATACCAGATATTTCATTCACTGTAAATGGATTAAGCTGATTTTCGGACAAGCCATGCGAAGGACACTGGGATGTCGTAATTTGAGTTTTAAGGTGCATTGAAGAACTCCACAAGTACTACTATATAAAGACATAGGTCATAATAATATGTGGGAAATTGCTACGCAAATTGGGCTGGTTGCCCAATCCATACAGTCTAGTGCCAAACCATAATACCATGCAATGGCTCTTGCGATAGGATATGTCTTATGGTTGAAGCATCCTCTTCAAGAATTAAAATGTGGGAGCAAACGACCAGTGCAATTAATTTGTGTCAACCAAGGGACCAAGGAACAATACACATTGCTGCAAACCCAGTACACTGTACACCATCAGAGAATGAAGCATATTGATGTTAACTGTTATTTCTATGAAAAAGTCATTCTTGACACACAGTTACGAGCTATGTCAGTACAGAAGATCAACTTGCTAATATTTTCATAAAGGCTTCGAAAGGTTCTAGAATAGGGAGGGTATATTGGTAAAAACTTTTGTGCTTATGACCTATATTGCTCGAGTTTGAGGGGAGTTAATTATGTAGTGTAAATTAAGCTCCTGAGTGTCATTTACTTGTGTGAATCTATATGACATCACCTTAACAATGTAATATGAGTGATGAAGATATGACGTAGTTATACTGACTTAGGTAAGGGTAACAACTCCTTTCCCTATAAAACTAAAATTCAAAACCAGTGGATCAGGATTGATAGATTTTTAAGTTTCAGTTCTGATGATGGGATCCCCATAGATATTAAGGTATTAAGCACAAACATACTGGACGGGGAACCATAATGTGAAGTTTTTATGTGACGCAGGGAGGATGTGATGGAAAGAGTGCTATAAAAGGTATTATAAGTGGAATGGGCGGCCGAAAGGGGCCAGGAGTAGTAGATTGAATCGAGGCAGATATATTTGATTCATCAACACTCAAGATTGTCAGACAAACCCAAGACATGAACAATAAGGCCTAAGCAAGCTGGGACAGAGAACTGGAATATTTCTCCAGAAAATTCCTCACTGCAGGTGAAGGTGTACGATGGCAAGGAGAACAGAAGCTGGTGGCACTTGAAAGCATGTGGAGCAATTTCCCGTTACTGCTAAAGTTGGCAGCCTCGCTTTTTACCCTTGCGCTTTTTGGCCTGTATGTTTAAAAGCTTCAGATTTGAATTGTAGATTCAAAAGATACTAAAAAAGTAAAAAGTGGGAAGTGATGAACAGTAGGATGACCAATTTAGGTTGACAAATTTAGAGGATTATGTGGTGTGTTTCAACATCACAAAGTACGGAGAATCATTTTTTCAATATGCTTTATTTATATAAATAAACTAGGGTTCTACAGGGATCGGGCTAAGTGCACTATGATTAGGTTTAGTCTTACAATACTCTTAGGCCATTTTGTAAATAAGAAAATGTCCTAGGCACCCAATAGGGAGTAGAGATCCCGTAGACCAATTTGTTTCTAATTGTAGTCTTTTGCCTCCACTTTTTGTGCTTTTTTGTTGTAATAATTAGTGTGTATTCTTACTCCCCCATGGCCTCTCTATATCTATCGAGCTCTCCCTGTTCCTTGTAATATGTGAATTTGATTAATGAAAATATGAGCCTTACTTTGGTGTAAAAATCAGTGAAATAGTGTGATACTATTTTTTTAAACTCCTAATTTCTATATCTTGAGAGTTGAGAGTGGTTCTCTTGAGTGTGAGTGTTTGGTTCTAGTTATTTTATTAGGTATGAAGCTTAATTAAACTCTAGAGTTAACCTTAAGTAAGATTTGAGTGTCTAATATCTCATATTCGAGCTTAGTTTATCCTTTATAAAAAAATCCCTAAAAAAATTATCTCTTCTCTTAACTCCCTGACTTGTTTCACAACACCCCCTACCTTCGGTTATAACACTTAGGCAGGCTAGGTGCCACTTGAGTGCCTTTTGGCGCATTGTACAAGAATGTTTGTACTTTGCAGCCAGGATAACTTTTGTTTCCAGTTGGCTTTTAAACATAGAAGTACATAGGAGCATAGTTGTTACGGCGGCTAGGCGAGGCTGGGCGCTAGAGTACCTTCCAATCGCCTAGGCGTCCGCTGGGCGAGTGGGCTATGGCGACCCTAATAATTTTATTGATACTGATGTAAAAGCATATATCATGAAATAATTAATTTTATAGGTATGAAATACATTACTTAGTACGGAGTATATACTTTGTAGAAAACAAGAATAGATAACACATTACTTTAAAAAAATATAAAGTATATGTCCTTAAAAAAATACACAGTCAAAGCCTGTTAAAAAAATTCCGCATGTTTCACTCAAAAAAAAATAAAAAATAAAAAAAAGAAACACTTTACTTTGCCTAGTCTGTCGCTAGTCAAAGCCTCAGGGGTTTCCGTCAAAACCGAAGGGTCGCGTACTCGCGTAGATCCGGAGAATTCACTAACGCTGGACAAAACCCTAAGGGATCTCCGTCGATCGCGATCCAATAGATTTACGACCTCACGATCTAAATCACAGATCCGGACAATTCCTATGGATTTCCGATCTTCCTTGCGATTCAGATCTCAAATCGACGCCAAATAGATGCCAAACAGACGCTAAACTGAAGCCTCAGTCGCCCAGGGAAGAAAAGGCTAGGCGACCAATTGGGCGTCCACAATACCTCACCCAGACGCCTAAGCGTCGCCTAGGCGACGCCTTGATAACTATGCATAGGAGAATGTGGTACTAGGAGTCAGGCCATTTAGATGAAACTTGGCTGACATACGTGTATCATTGTGAAAGTATTGATTTTATGTTCTTGAGATGCATTGTTCAGTTTTGCGTATGTGAACACTGTTACTTTTACCACCACTGCTTCACCAGACTGATTTCTCAACTAATTGTTTGCAGAAATCAACTGCTGGCAGGAGTGGCTCATATTTTCTGATGTGTTTTATTTTCTCATGAAAAGTGGATGCATTGATTTTGTGGATTTTGTCGAAAAGTTAGTCTTACGGCTCCAGGAAGATGAGCAACATATACTCAAGACAAATCATGTCACGTGGCTGCTCGCACAAATTATTCGGGTTGAGCTAGTGATGAATGCTTTAAATTTGGACTCAAGAAAGGTTGTATTACATGAGTATAAGTGTATAACCTAGTTTCTTTTAAATGTACTTTGAATTTCTTGCCAACCTATTCTCTTCCGTCCATACAGCACTGCTTTTTTATACTTATTAATTTCAATAAGGCAATGCTTCCACAGTTCTATTTTGTATTCAAACTCATCCCTACTTTTCATAACATTAATCTTTGGGATGATTTCTCTGGAGTTAATACATTGAACAGCCTATCAAGTGGGGTATGTGGGGTGGGAGTTATACACAGACCTCTCCCCCTACCTATTAAAGGTAGAGAGGATGGGTTATTACATTAAAATCATTTTTTAATGTTTATTGATTAAAAAACATGTTTTCAAAACTCTAAACGTTTGTACTAATTGAAAAAAAAAAAGATTCATGTTGTAAATTTTTGTGTTCATAAATTTCTCTCTGGATTATTGTTTCTTTAAGGGACAACTGTCTCTTATTTTCACTCATTTGTCTTCTGCATTTAACTCATCATCAATCATCATCATCATCATCATCTTCAGGTACTCTATCGAAGTAATGTGTATACAACCTATTTTATATGTTTATATTACCTTATATTTGCGTTTTGCTGATAAGTTTTTTGTTGAACAAGTACATTTTCTATGTAATCAATTGTACCCAGTATCATTTTGCTACAGTCACACATAATACTTATAAGTAATATCTGTTCCATATAATATTTCTTATAGGTGGAGACAACCAGAAAAATTGTGTCGTTTCATAAAGATGAGAAAAGCTCTGACCCTAATAGTCCACAAAGTATCCTCCTTGATTTCATAAGCAGTTGTCAGAACTTGCGGATTTGGTCACTGAATACATCAACTAGAGAGTATCTTAATAATGAACAGCTTCAGAAGGGAAAACAAATAGATGAATGGTGGAGGCAAGTGAGTAAAGGTACTTATTCTTTTATTCAATCAGTTCTGTTTATCAAACTGGTTTCAATCTAATAGAACTAGATGTGTCTAAAATACTAATGTTACACCTATACTGGTTGTGTAATACAAATATAAAAGGCTGGTTTTATATGTTCTGGACATGGGGAGTTTTTAAGTTATAAAAGTTTATCAATTCATTATTTGATCATTTTGATGGAACAAGAGGACTACACATTATCATCTTTGGAATTATTAGCTATCTTTGAATGGAAAACTACAACAGCTTGAGGGGAAGGTTGAAAATCATGTGTGAATCACGTTAAATGTTACTTGTTTTGGGTAAAGTTTCAGGAATGTTAGTTTTCGAAAATAGAAAGTTAGTTGATGGTAGGTGTAGCACAGAATGATATAATTCGTGTATATAACTGTGGCCTATATACATATCAACTTTCGGAAATGAATAATATATTTCAATTTCAGTTTTTCTTCAAATAAATGTTTTAGAAGAAATTCATGAATCTGCAAACATTTAAGCAGCGACCACAAGAAGGACTATATTTGGAATCCATCAAAACAACAATAATGATAATATTAATAGTTACATAATTATAAGATAACAACACCAACACCAACAACATTAATGCTGTTGATGATGATGAATCTACTACTACTACTACTACTAATAGTAGTAGTAGTAATAATAATAATAATAACAACAACAACAACAACAACAACAACAACAATAATAATAATAATAATAATAATAATAATAATAATAATAATAAGACCGGGCAAAACTGACCCGGACCCGATAACCCGAACCGAATAACCCGAAACCGAACCCGAATTGACCCGAAAACTGAAGAACCGAAATAGAACCGAACACCCAAAATGATCCGAACCGAACCCGAACCCGAACCGAATGTATTCAGACCCGATTCAGACCCGAATCCGATTAAACCCGAACCGATTAAACCCGAACCGATTAAACCCGTACCCAGTTAAACCCGAACCCGGTTAAACCCGGAACCGATTAGACCCGAAACCGATTAGACCCGAAATTGATCAAATTCATTAATATTTCATTTATCAAATGAATTTGGAGAAGGCGAATTACCTATATATTTTTACATATGTTGATGTGTTTCTAAAAAAACATATTTAAATTATGGGTGCAAACCATGTAACTGCTTTCATGTACAAATCTTTTACTTTGTATTTTATAACTTAAGTTAAAAATATTTTTGTATTTTTTATAGAAAGTATATAAAAATTATAGTTAACTAAATTAACTAAATTTATTATGTGATATTATTCATTTATTAGTATGTATTTACATTATACTTGAACTAATATTAATTTAAACCGATATAAACTCAAATCTATATAAACCCAAATCAATACAACCCAAATTGATACAAACCTGAACCGATATAAACCCGAACCGATACAAACCCGAACCGATATAAACCCGAACCGATATAAACCCGAACCGATATAAACCCGAACCGATATAAACCCGAACCGATACAAACCCGAACTGATATAAACCTGAACCGAAACCAAACCGAAACTGAAAACCAATCAAACCGAAATAAACCCGGAACCGAACTGACCCGAACCGATTATAACATATATCCGAAAGAGACCCGAACCGAAAAGACCCGAACCGGAACCGAACCGATTGACCCGATTGCCAGGTCTAATAATAATAATAATAATCAATCTGTGGAGTTTTACCCTTTGTACAGTTACCCAGAATGTTCATTGTCAGCTTTCAAACAATCAAACATTCAAGTGTTGATTAGTTTTTTCTATTTATGTAGATTGTCTTCGTGGATTTGACTTACAAATTTTGATCTTGTCAATTTTTTAATGTCAGGGGAACAAATGATGGATTATATGAATTTGGACGATAGATCTATTGGGATGTTTTGGGTTGTATCTTACACAATGGCACAGCCTGCTTGTGAAACAGTTATGAATTGGTTAACTTCAGCTGGATTCACAGAGTTGTTAACGGGACCAAATGTGCAGTCCACTGAGAGAATAATGATGATGCTTGAAGTTGTCCCATTGCCAATATCATTGCTCTCAGGATTTTCCATAAATTTGTGCATGAAACTCGCTCTTCAGATGGAGGATTCCATGTTTTCTGGACAGGTACTACTACCTAGAGGAAGTAGTTCTCTTTTGTAATGCACCTATAGGGCTATAGGTATTCAAAAATTTTGGTCATCCTTCCTGTCTGGTTTATGCAAGGTGGTACGCCCATTATGGCATTATCAAGCTTTAAATAGTAGTTGTAACTCATAAGTGTATGTATTACTAGAATGGTCTATGTAAATTGTAAACTAAAAGATTCTGATCACGATTGACTTTCATTTTGTTGTAATAGAATTGCACATTTATTGCTTTTATGTTTCTCCCTCTATTTCTAAATACTTTGCACAATTTGACTTGCACTTAGGGTAATAATAATAAAAAAGTAGAGTTTAAAGTTATGTGAAATTATTAAATGAGGAGGGAGAAATATGCTGAATAGGCTGAAAAGTAAATGAAAAATTTGTAGAAAGTTGATATGGAAGAGAGAATTTTTGAAAAAGGAAGAGTACAAAGTAATTTGGAATGCCCCAAAAAGGAAAGTGTGCAATGTAATTTAGAACGGAGGGATTACTAGGTAATAGAAGCATTAACCAAATTCATTTCTGAATTCCTTTGATTAGTTGTATTTTTGGTATACCTGTTCATTTCATGAACACTACATATTTATTTAATGCAGGTACCCAGCATTGCTATGGTTGAAACATATTGTAGGCTGCTGCTCATATCTCCTCATTCTTTATTCCGCTCCCACTTGAGTGTAACTTCTCTTTCCTCTATACCCATTTTCAAAGTTCATGATCATGTTTCTCCCCAATAGCATGTGCATTCTGTGAGATATAAATTTAATTAAAAGTTTTTCATCATAACTTGACTGACTTTTTTCTTTGAAACATAAATAAACTATGCCTCCTATGGTTGTTGCTGTTTATCCTCAACTTCTATTTTTGGCACTTCAATAATTTTGAGTAGATTCCATAAAAGGTCCCCAGTTATAGGTCCTTTTACATATTTAGTCCCTACATATCAAATATCAATAATTTAGTCCCCAATTATTATATCATTTTTCAAGATTGGTTCTTTGTTAACATTTTCGTTAAGAACATGGATAAAATTGTATATTCACATTTCTCTCTCTCTTCAATTAAGCTTCCTTCCTCCTCTCGTACTCCTTCCCAAACTCGTTGCTGAGTTTGAAGCTCTTTACCCAAAACTGAAATGATCACTCCTCTCTGAATTGTTAGTCTTCCTGGTGGAACCTAAAATAAAAACCAATAACCTGAATTTATCAGTTAGTCTCAAGAAATTGCAAAGAAAATAAACCTTAAAACTCATCCATGAAGGTTACTGGTTTCGATTTTGGGTTCCACCAGGAAGACAAACAATTCAGAGAAGAGTGATGATTTCGATTTTGGGTTCAAAGCTTCAAACTTAGCGACGGGTTTGGAAAAGGAGTGTGAGGGGAGGGAGGAAGCTTAATTGAGGAGAGAAAGGAGTGTGAATTTACAATTTTATCCACGTTCTTAACAGAAATGTTAACAAAGGACCATTCGTGGAAAAGAATATAATAATTGGGGACTAAATGATTGATATTTGATATGTAGGGACTAAATATGTAAAACGAACTATAACTAGGGACCTTTTATGGAATTTACTCAATAATTTTAGAGTAAGCTCCACACATAGTACTCTATATTTGGGGATATTCCACATTTAGTCCACTATTTTACAAAATTACATTGGATGGTCACTTTAATGGTCAGCATTGCCACTTTTAGTTTTATTTCCTTCAACGATCCTTAAAAGCATACATTAACAAAGGAATGAAAGTAGCAATATTCCAAAATTTAAGGACCTTAGTTGGTATTTAATGACATAAAGGACTAACACTGGAAAATATTCACAATTTTGGTGTGTTTGGTTTGGGAAAATATTCTCTCCATATTTTCCATTGTTTGTTAAAAAGAAAAATTTTTCCAAGAAAATATTTTCCTTATTTCATAGGAAGGAAAATAAACATCAAAGATTAATTTTTCATCTTTGGAGAATGGATATATTCAGGGGTGTGCAAGGGTTGATGGGGGTAGGNGATGGGGCGAGGGGCGTGTGGTGGACGGTTGTGGGGCGGGGACGAGTGTGGAGAATGAATAGGAATTTTACTTTGAAATCAAAAGGAAAATAATTTCCCCTTGTGAGAAAATATTTTCCTATCAGTTAATTTACCAAACCAAGGAAACTAGAGTGAAAATTTTCCAGGATAATATTTTTCCCCAACCAAACACTACCTTAACGTGGACCTCCAATGAAATTTCTTAAAGTAGTCCACTAAGTGGGTCTTTCTTTGTGTTATTGCTTATTGGATTATTGCTGATAATCAATTTTTAACTTATAAGCTGCTTATAAGTCAAATATTCTTTCATTGAAGTAAAATGACTTAAATGATAGATAAATCATTTGTAAATATTCACAAATGGTGAGGGACTTTTTCGTAAATAATCTGGCATAGTTGTGAATGGCGAATGGCGAGTGGCGGGCGAGAGGTTCTTTTTTATGGCGAGAAGCGTGGCGAGCGGCGGGCGGTCAAATGGCGAACATTATATATATATATATATATATACATATATATATATATATATGTATGTATGTATGGGTGTATGTATATGTATGTGTGTGTGTATATATATATATATTGTTTAAGTCCAAACTTTTAGTCTTAACTTTGTATCAAACATAATTATCAAAGTAAAACATGAGTTATTGCTGAAAAACTATTATACAAAAAAAATGAAAAAAATATATCTAAGTGTGAGTGTGACCTGCGAAGTGAGCTGTAAAGGAACAATAACCATTCAAAAAAAACAATAAGAAAACAAAAAAAAAGTCTGAGTGACCTGCGAAGTGTGGAGTCTTACTTTCGCCGGCTTTGACTCTGCCTCTGCGCTGTTTAGACTCGCGAGAGAGAGAGAGAGTTCACTGCGAAGAAGTGCCCTGTTTGGACTCGCGAGAGAGACGAGGCTCTGCGCAGAGTCGGCTAGGAGAATTTCGATCGACGGCTAGAGGGCAGAGGCAGAGGCTCGGCAGTTGAATCGATGAAGTGTTTCGATCGAGTACTGATATAGGTCAGGTTAGCGGGTTTTTTTTTAAAAAAAAGTCAAGAAAAACCCTTGACCTGCATTAAGCGTAGATAGCGAACGCCTTTCGCCACAGCGTTTGGCGTCCATGGCGACCGCCTATGGCGAGATTGGCGTAAAACGCCTCGCCAGGTCTCAAGATGGCGTCAGATGGTCGCCACAAAGCCATAGGCGCCTTAGGCGAGAATGGCGAGCGCCATTCACAACTATGTAATCTGGTCAAAACGGAGAAACAAAAAAATTGGCTTAAAAATAAGTAGCTAAGACCTACTTATTTTTTATGGCTTATAAGCAAGTTATAAGTCAACTTATAGACACACACAAAAATGTCATCAGCTGACTTATAAGTTAGAATTAGTAGTTTTGACCAACTTATAAGCACAAAGGAATACCCACTAAATATGAAATATCCTTAATTATAGGGGACCATTTGTGAAATCTACTTTTAATTTTAATGACATTGTACAAAATATACTTCATTGATACAATGAGCAAATGTGTACGAGATAAGCTAAGCCCACATGTTTCAAGAGTTCCAACATTAACGAAAGAATATTTGACTTATAAGCATACTCCATGCGCCCTAGAGTGTTTGTTCGTTTTTTTTGCCTCTAAGATGAGTGTAAAGTGAAGAATGTCCCAAGTACCCTTTGGTGATCTTCCCCACCTCATCTATTCCCCNCCCCCCCCCCCCCGCTTAATGGCACACAACACACAACTCACCCCAACTCCCTTTACCTGTTGCCCACCCCAGCCTCTTGTCACAGAGCAAGCCATAACAACAAACAGAGCGTGCTAGAAAGGCAAGAAAACCCGAAGGGAATCTTTTCATCGTCGTTTTCTAGAAAGATCCATGGGTGCTCAATTAATGGGTAAGATTTCTTTTCTTGTCATGCTTTAGGCGTGATAGAATTTAGGATTGGGTAGAGATAACTGGATTGGGCTATAAGACACTTGGGCTGAACCACATTAAAAGATTGAATCCAATCGATTACTTAGTTTAACTCAAGAGCTTATATACCCATTATTTTCCTCACACTTTTCCGATGTGGGATACTCTTTAACACTCCCCCTCAAGTGGACGACCAGACGATTTTGAATCTAATCAGTTGACCACTTGCAAATGGACTCTCATCCCCTTGATTTTTTTAGTGCCAACATCTAAAGTACCACGAGCTGCTGGGTATGGACTTCCAGACGAGCAATCGTGTTAAACAGGCCACAGGCCGTTGGGTACATTCTCCATACGGACAACTGGGCAAAAGACAAACGGGCCGCTAGGAATGAACGTCTAGACAGACACCTTGACAAATGAGGTGGGCCAAAACCTGCCCTGATAACTGGATTGGGCTATAACACACTTAGGCTGAACCACATTAAAAGATTGAATCCGATGGATTACTTAGTTCAACTCAAGAGCTTATATACCTATTATTTTCCTCACACTTTTCCGATATGGGACACTCTTTAACAAGGCGGTCACATGAGAAGACACATATGAAAGTGGTATTGTTTGTGTTACTACTATGAACTCCTCCATGGGCTTGTGATCTTTGATTTGATACAGATCTAAGATTTGCAGGTAAGCTTGCCTGTGGACTTCTCTTGATTCCAATCTACGTATATCATCTAGATGAATCTGCTAATTTTGGGTGTGGCCGTGGCTATCTTGGAAGATGCGATAATGGCGACAACAATGAATCAACTAGAAAAAAAATCAGAAAGTCGAGGGTTGGGGAAGGCTGATAGAGATAGTGAAGGGTATAATAGACTTTTCATTTTGTTTATGTTGCAATAGAAGAAAAGTGGTCAAATACTCTGGGACAACCCAAAAACGAATACTTGACAAATATTGCGGGACGAAGGGAGTATATTACTAAGCAATCGTCATCATTGATTGCTGTCACTTTGAAAATGTACATCTTTGTTTATAGTTCTTGTTCGTCCTCATTATTCAATTTCATCAAGCATAAGTTCTTCATCTTTATAGTGTGTGGGTATAGACACTCCAAACGCCCTACTTACAAGCCTTTATGTCCAATCTTCACCTTTAAAGACCAAATAGTGTTCTTCAAATCCTCCTTCCATTCTTTCTGTCACTCAAAGAGACGACGTCAATTAGATCGTGTGCACTGTATTGATGACTTAGTGTATGGTGGTATTTCAAATATACCAAATCATTTAATCTATTCTGAGCAAAAGTCACAATAACTCAGTGAGTTAAATTACAAACTACTCCGTACTATATTTGCGTACTCTAATCTAGTAAAGAGAGAAGGAATGGATGATATCTAAAAATTAACATACTTATATATATGTGTGTGTGTGTGTGTGTATATATATATATATAGAATACTTACATGCTCAAATACACTCCAATTGCGCACACAACTTCAAGCACCATGTAAGTATTCTATATGTATGTACGTATGTGTGTGTGTGTGTTTGTATATATATATATATATATATATATATATATATATATATATATATATAGAATACTTACATGCTCAAATACACTCTAATTGCGCACACAACTTCAAGCACCATGTAAGTATTCTATATGTATGTGTGTGTGTATATATATGTATGTATATATATATATATATAATACTTACATGCTCAAATACACTCCAATTGCACACACAACTTCAAGCACCACGTGAGGCATAGCAAGTTCATTGCAAACTTATGCAATGTATGATTTTCGATAACTAAAATGTTTTGCATTTTTGATAGATTATGGTCTTTTATTCTTATGTCTGACTTCTGTTGCAGCATCTAAGACAGAGAAATCAAGCCACCTTGACCAAGCCGGGGAACACCATTTTGGTTTTTGAAATTCTCAACTATCGCCTGCTTCCACTGTACAGGTTGCTTATTCTTAGAATCGTCCTCATCACTATCTTGTTCACCATTCATCCACTGCATGTTCAAGTCTGTTGAGTATTGTCAAGAAGATCTTAGGGTTTTTTGACTTATATAGAAATGTAATGTCAAGAATTCACTATTTTTTGGCTTTGGGGTATGATGGAATAAAGCAAAATGACTCTTTAAACTGTTTGCGCTTCTTTTAGTAGTGAAGTAGCAATTAGTCAATGCAACTTTCGACGGTCATCATGGGTCATCTGGAAACAGCCGCTTTATGTGTTAAACATTGGGGTCAGGCTGTGAGGCTGTGACGCTCTGTCCATCCAACCCCCCTACCTCGCATTGGGCGGGAGCCTTTGAGGCACTTGGGTAATGTTGTTGTTGCTGTATATAGAAATCTAATGTATTTGTGCTCATTGGATGACATTAAAAGTGCTTCCATTGTGTGCCAGAACATGCATGACTTAAGTTGTGTGTACTGTGTATCCATAGTTTATTCCCACTATATTGGTCTTTATTTATGATGTTTCATTAGCTTTGTTTCAAATGCACTTTTACTCCGTTACAGTGCAAATCTATTTATTTTATGTCTTACTTTTTTTATATGTAAAGAAAAAGATGTTATTATGTTAATGGGATCTGTAACACATTAATGTGTAACGTGGGGGTACCACATTACCTCTCATTGTAGTCTAAAATTGACAAGACATTACTGACTCATCAATTATCTTGTCCAAAGGATATTTTATCTATACCACTTGGCTACTACACGTGAGGCATAGCAAGTTCATTGCAAAAGTCATTGGCAAAAGCCAAGGTTACTGATTTTTAGATATGATAATATAATACTATTTAAAGGTGGGGCTAAGTTATCAGTTCTATGCTTTTTCGTTTGCTGAGGAGTGTTGCTTTTGTGTCTTCTCTAGATACCAAGGGAAGAGCAAAGCATTGATGTATGATGTCACCAAAATGATATCTGTACTAAAGGGGAAACGTGGAGATCATAGAATTTTCAGACTGGGTGAAAATCTATGCATGAATCTTATTTTGTCAATGAGAGATTTTTTCTTCGTCAAGAGAGAAGGAAAGGTGGACTAATATGTTTTTATTCTGCATTCTGTGTTTTGTATAGTGAGATCAAATTTTCTCACATCAAAAGTTGTTACAGGGTCCAACAGACTTTACTGAGACTTTGAATCGCATAACTGTTACAACTCTTGCAATCATTATCAAAACTCGTGGAATAGCAGAGTTTGAACACCTACTCCATCTTCAGACAATGTTAGAACAGATACTAGCAACTAGTCAGCATTCTTGGTCAGAGAAAACACTTCGATACTTTCCTTCAATCTTACGTGATGCATTGAGTGGTCGGATGGATAAAAGGAGTGGCCAATTGGATAAAAGGACACTGGCTATCCAAGCATGGCAACAGGTATGCCTATGCTACATCTGTGTGCATGTCTTTAGCAGATTTATTTGTTGTTTGGTGATCATGGTTGATATACGTTCATGTATGTGCTTTTAGTTTGATGCAGTAATATGGCATGTCTGGATGTATAATCTTGTGAAGAAAGTTAAATTTGAATGGTAGTTGATGAGGGGTGTGTTTTTTTTGAGGAGGGGTGTGTTAAATATGAAAGCTATGTCATTATATATGTCTCAAGATGCACATGATTAATATATGTGTCCTAGCTTGATGAGGTGTGTGTTAAGTGTAGTCTTAACACCACTGGTATGCCCATATATAACTCTTATGGATGTGCATTTGTACATTTAATAGTAACCAATGTTATGTATTTGCACAATAAATGATAATGTCTAATTGCAGGTGGAAACAACTGTAATTAATCAATGCACCCAGCTTCTTTCACCATCAGCTGATCCAAGTTATGTTGTTACTTACATTAACCACAGTTTTCCTCTGCACCGTCAATATCTTTGTGCCGGTGCATGGATACTAATGCATGGGCACTCTGAAAACATCAACAGTGTGAACCTTGTAAGACACGTGTTTTCATTTTTAATGCATCTGTTACTTCGGATGTGTTGTACAAGTCCTTAGCTCTGAATTTTTCTAAAATGCTACCAATTGTTTTAGGGACGTGTCTTGAGAGAAGTATCTCCCGAAGAGGTTACTTCCAATATATACACGATGGTAGATGTAATGCTTCATCATATTCATTTGGAACTGCAGCGAGGACATCCCTTGCAGGTGTTATCCTCATTTCTGGATTGTTTTTTCATGCTAAAAATCACTTCTGGCCTTGAAATAAACACACACACACACACATTGAAACTGACACCAACTCTTTCACTCATTAGTTTTCTACTTCTTCAGGATCTTATGGTAAAAACAGTTTCCAATCTTTCATTTTTTATCTGGACACATGAGCTACTTCCTTTGGATATCTTGCTTCTTGCACTTATTGATCGTGATGATGACCCGCATGCTTTGCGCATTGTGGTACGAATTCTTTGTCAAATTTTATTCCCCTTCATTTTATCCCATTTGTTTCTTATAAAATGTAAGTTCATGGCATGCATTCTTGCTTTTGTTGAATCCATATTTGCATTAAGACATTTGTATTATGGATTGTGGAAGGCGAGAGTTTTATCATTTATGCATGCTTTTGTGAGAAATTTTTGCCAGTGCAAGAATACACCTGGCTGAACATTAGACACCTATTTTCTAGCTCGTTTTAGGTCTAGATCAGTAGTATATACTATTTAAATTCAATAATATTCTTCTAGTCGGAGTACATAGGGTTGCAACCAGATCTTGTTATTTTGCTCTCTAGTAGGCAAAATTTCCTCCTTCAAACACACAATAGTAAGTAATTGACTTCATGTCACTCGGCAAGCCCATTGAGGGCATGTTTTTCACTTTTTCTAACTCTTAATTTCCAACATTTTTCTAGTTTCTTACAACTTATTCTATTTTCATCCAACTCCTTTGTAAGTTTTTATCCATTTAGTACATAGAATAATAAAACACTAAAATAAAAATAAATTATTAATTAAACTAAGTTTGTAGGATTTAATAGAAAAAGAAAAAAATTGGGATGAAAGTGTGTAACCATATTGTTTTTAATTGAACAAGTAAAACACCGTTGTGTTATTGAAGTAAGGGTACTTTTTTTTACAACGTTTAAAGTTGGGGTACCTCCAATGTAAATCTCAAAATGTGTCCGGATCTAATTTGTCTTGCATCTTTTCATGCCTAATATAGTTGCTTCTCTCTTATGTTATTGAATTTTACTAAATTAGTGTACACTATTTTTTCTTTTCCTCCAAATAGTTAAGAAAACTATTGCCTACATTCGGATCTACTTATTGGTAAAAATATTAAATGTTCATATGTCGGATGTACAATGATTGCTACCTCTGTTGCATAAAAATATTTGTGTTTGACATTCACAAATTTTTAAAAAATGTTGAAAAGTGAAAAGAATATAATTAGATTTTTTTGGGACAAATGAACAAGGAAAGGGTGAAGATTTTAATGGAAGAAAGTGGGTAAATCATGCCATATATCCGGATGTACCTACTATCTACTTTCCTGCTCATCCAGTGAGTATTACTCCCTCCTCCGTCCGGTAGTTTTCTTCTCCTTTTCCTTTTTGGGTTGTCTGGTATATTTCATCATGTGGTCATAAGTGGTAATTAAAGACAACTAAAAAGACTAATTTACCTTCATTTAATTTTCTCTTGTTCTCATGTGCTTCCTTTTTTATATTTTCATTGCCGACATTCCTCATCAACCTTCATCTCCACCCCTCCTCAACCGTCATGCCAGCCCATCCTCAACCATCATCGTGCCCCCTTCTCTCTCTTAATTCAATTCTCTCTTTATCTCTAACATCTCTTCATTCTCTCTTCCTTCATTTTGATTTTAAAATGGAAAAATTAAGGTCTGAAAGATTTTCTCTGTGGCTGCAGCTCCTCCTCAACTGTCTCTGCTGCCTCTCCTCAACTTTCACTGCTGCCCCTCAACCATCTGTGTTGCCCTTCTATCTTATCTCCTTGTTCAAAGAAAATCAGATCTGAAAGATCTTGTCCTTGGCAATGAAAATCCTAGATCTCGGTCATCCTTTTATCCAGAAGTTCCATTTTCTAGGTTTTCCTGTCACTGCTTGCCGTAGAAAGCCTTCCTATTGATTTGACCAGCGATCACAATTAAAATAAGGGCATTTTAGGAAAGTTAAACCAATTTTAACACTACCTTTACAATTGTGCCTGGTCAAACTCAGAAGAAATATCCTGGAAGGAGGGAGTATATAACTTGTAAATGAACATACACGAATTTTATAATGTTAATGCTTTGAGCATGTATAAAAATTAAGCGTGCAATTTTAGGAGTGTACAACTAAGGCAGCTCTCCGTTCAACTTTTTTGTTTTTTGCTTATTTCTTATTCTTATTAAAATCAAACCAAATCAGATCCAATCAGATCATATCAGATCCAAATCAGACCAGATCTGAGGTCCAATCAAATCAGATCTAAACAAAATTATTATTATTATTACTATTATTTCTATTTTTACTATTATTATAATTACCATTAGTATTATTATTATTATTATTATTACAATTACTATTATTATTATGATAATTATTATTATTACTATTGTTATTATTATTACTATTATTAATATTAATATTAATAGTAGTATATTGTTACTATGATTATTAATATTTCTATTATTATTATTACTACTATTATTGTTAGTTTTGTTATTATTGTAGTTATTATTATTTTTACTATTCTTATTACTAATAATATCATTATTTTTATTACCATTATTAATATTATTATTTCTATTTTTATTATTATTACTATAATTAATATTTCGATTATTATTATTACTATTATTATATCTATTAGAATAGTAATTTTAATTTTAATTTAAATCAAATTTATATCTGATCACATCCAATCAGATTAGATGAGACAAGATCAGATAAGACCACATCTAATCAGATCAGATCGGATTCAATCAGATCAGAACTTCAAAAAATTAGATGAACGGAACGCAACCTAATTCAGACAGAAGCCAAACAGTACTTTCATCAAAATTTTCATTTAAAAATATAGTTTTTCATATATTATCATTCTTGTTAATTGTTTGATTATTTATTTTTATGTTCATACTCCCTCCATCCTAAAACCATCTTCCCGTTTGTGTTTATGAGGTTTGACTGACTTTATTTTCAATTCAATTTATTTGATTGTAGGTGTAAAATTAAAAAATATAATTTATATTTTTAAAACTACATCAAAAGTTCTACAAAACAAGAGGTGACAAGACTATATTATTTTATCAAATAACTAACGAAAATAGGTAAAGAGAGTGATTTATGTTTGACTGTGTGAATAGCAACTGGGAAGATAGCTTTAGGACGGAGGGAGTAATATTTTTATAAACAACAACCCATCCCAGGGGAGTAAGGCCTGGGGAGAGTGTGTGTATGCAGGCCTTGCCCATCCATAAATTTTTAAAAAGAAATTGTTTTATAATGTGCATACGTATATTATATAAAGCGCATGTTTTGCTAAAATAAATAAATAAATGTGAACTGAGTATTGTATTACCCGTAAATGTGCATGTCTCTCATATAGATTCTTGTATAAACGTGATGTGTTTGGAAATAGTTATTAAATTTTCGTAGTTGTGTACATATAATTTATAATGTGCATATTTTGAATAAATATCAAAATTAAATGTGTGGAACGAGTATTGTGTATCTAAGAACTGCTCATATGTTGGATATACCACAAACGTCGTACATCAAGATGTACTATATACAAAATCAAACGGATGAAGTACAAGCTTAGGAATTATAAAGTAATTAGAAAGAATGTTGTAGGGGGGCAAAGATGAGTTCTCTTTTATCGAATTTGGGTTTCTTACACATTAGTTTAGGTGATTTTCTTTATAAAAATGTAGGGTTTTAATTACTATTTTTAAAATATAAAAAATAATTATTTTTCTTCGCGTAATTTGTGTTATATACAATACAACTTGTAATTTGATATGAGTTTTGAAATGCTTCAATATTATTATATCTATGGGGGGTAAGTACATGCTTTTAGTCCGTGTAAAATAGACGACTTTTGGTTTTGGTCGTGCAATTTTTTTGTTAAGTCATCCTTACAATTTTTTTATTTTAAAAATAGTCTTAAACCATAATTTGCCCTTCTAATTTGTTTTGTTAAGAGAACACATTTATTTCGTACTAGACATCTTAGCCTTACATTTCTACTACCTCCAACACAATTTTTATGCCCTAAATTGTGTCCTTATTCATATTACATCTGCAATTCTCAAATATTTTGGAAATATAGTATAACATAATTTGGAAATTAGAGATATAAATTGATGAAGGACACAATCTATGACATGAGAATTGTGTCTGAGGTACTTGAAACGCAAGATTCGCATGTTGAGTACGAAATAAATGTGTTATCAACAAATTAGAATTGGAAGTGTTAACTATCGCGTATTTTACAGGGACTAAAAGCATATTTAGCCCTATCTATGGTGGTCATACAAGATTGTCTTTCCTGTTGCACTCCTTTATAATTTGACTACACGACATGCTCTTTCCAGTCAACCAATGTAAGATCCTTCAAAATCGACTGACAACACTAGCCAGGAAAACTGGTTGAGTAAATGTAGTCTCCATCTCAAATTAAAGGGGATAATATGACTTTTGAAGTCAAAGCCCATCAAATTTGGCTTGTAATTATTCAAGAGCAACAACAACCTAATATAATCTCACGAATGTAGGGTGTGTACACAGACCTTGCCCCTACTTGAAAGTAGAGAAACTGTTTCCAAAAGACCCCAACTGGAGTAAAACAGAAAGCACGGAGCACGAATATAAAAGAACAAGGTAAAGGTAAAAAAGCACCAGGAAAAGGAAGGAAAGAAGGACAGGAGCACCAGACGTAGCAAGCACACAACGACAAGAGCTGAAACTACCACTAATTATTCATACACCATAAAGTTTTATACTCCCTCCGTCCATTATTTTCTTTCTCATTTTGACTTGGTGCATATATTTATCCAAGATGATTATAGTGTTGAATTTCCTAAAATACCCTCTACCCACCCAACCCATTTCATCTGTGACTACACTACCATCGCACAAGGTACACAACTGCAAACTAGGAACAACGTCAATGAGAAGATCAACTGCTCATGGCTGCAATCAGTGTCACAACAGCCCCTCCACTCCACACCCTCACCAACGTGATTGCCACTACTCATCGTCTAAACAGTCTCCCAGGCTTCCACCGCCATCATCACTTTCCGGCCGCCACTGTAGTCACCATCTCAACATCAGTGTTGAAAAGATCTGGCCGACAGGGTGGGTTTGTTGAGAAGATCTTACCGGTCAAGATATTGTGATGATGTGAAGATCTGATTCAGTTAGATTTGGCATTGAAACTTGAAAGACGAGGCTGGAGTCGACAGTGACATAGATGACGATGACAAACAAAATTAGAAGAGAGAAGATGGTGGATGTGTGGATCGATTGGGAGAAGAAGAAGATTGTGGGCAGAGTGATGTTCTTTGAGTGCGAGAAATATGGTGGAGTTTGGGGAAAGATAAGACTATTAGGTTAGGGTAGATGGGTGGCAGAGTATTTGTTGGGAGGGTAAATAGGACATTTCACTTAAAATTGTTTCAAATAAGGAAAAGGGAAAGAAATTTGTGGATGACTCAAAAAGGAAACTGAGGAAGAAATTAATGGATGGAGAGAGTAATATGAAGTTGCTCTCGATAAATTTGTGTTGACATAAACTTTCAAAGATTAATTTTTTTTATTACTTTGTATAAAACTTTACGTTCTATGAATAATTTCTGATCAAAGTTGATGGAGTTTGACTGCAAAAGTCAAACTATCACTTTCGATTTGGGACTGAGGGAGTATGCTATTTGGCCTACCAACTAAATTTCTCACTTTGGTTCTTATGATTCATATGCTCCAACTTGAGTTGGAGTGTTGGATATGTCAAAATCTTAGTGTTGTTAGTTTGGGCCTAGCCTACCTCATGTTATGTATTTGTATATATATGCTCTTCGTACATTTTTAGACCACATAAATATGCAATACACTTCACTATTCGTGGAAAATATCTCTTCTTAACTAGAGTCTAATTTTTGATGGCATGATTGTATTATGTGGGAGGCCTTTATTTGATGTATCACACTTTTTGCTTTGTCATTCAATTTTGAAAAATTAAATAATCTGAACTATTGAATTGTATAAGTTTTGCCATTTTTTTTGTCAATTTCGAGTTGAAATATTTTTGCACATTTGAAATTTTAAACAGGTTAGTTTACTTGATAGTAAAGAGCTTCAACAAAAAGTTAAAGTTTACCTTTTAAGTCGTGGCCCACCAGAGAATTGGGCTCAAACTGGACCTTTCAAGCGTTCTGAGTTGCAGAAAGCTCTTGGGAATCATCTCTCTTGGAAGGAAAGGTAGCATCATGACATTAAACAATGCATTGCAATAACTCATTTTCTATATATCCATGCGTATAGTATACAATTTGGTTATTGTCGAGTTAAACATAAAACATGTGCTGCCTGTACATACCCTTTGATATTATCTGCTTATGTGAAAGTGTGATATTTCTTGCAATGTTGTCATGGCGGGTATGCATCAATGGCACATTAATCTCCCTTGCTTCTTACTTTCAATGAAGCTTTGGGCAGTAAATGCCTCACGGATCTAATGGAATTAGCCTCTCTGTTATTTTAAACCCTTCGTTAGATCCAGGGGATTGGGGTTATCCTGGGGTTGTTGCTCTTGTTGTCACGACGGGCATGCGAGGCACACCACCAGCCATGGTAGTCAAATTCGCATTCCAGATTGTAGAATCACATCTTTCAATGATTCGCATAGGGTTTTGCTATTCAAACTGTGAGGATCATAAAACCAGCAAGATCGTTGGATGATCGTGCTAGATCATGGAAATGATAGAGTCATACACATCCTATGTCTCTTAAGTCAGTTGAAGGAAAAAAAACATGTCAGAAATGTTCAGTCAAGGCTTTTCCAATTCGAGCACTTGAGTAAAACTAGACAAACTTAGATGAGTTAGATCCTCAATTAAAAGCAGATTATGTTGCTTATAAGTATAATAAAATAATTATTTGAAAGTTTTTTGCAAGATTAATCTAATCAAATATTTTTTTTAATTAATATGCGTTGTCGTTTTCATTTAATTGATGATCAAAGATTGGTCAGTTTGCTGAAACAGTCAAACTCCACAAATACACAGGGACAAGGGTGTTTGAAGTTTGGAATATTATGAGAATTCGATCAGACACCGGATGATGCAGATGCAGTTGCTGGACCGACATCGTTTAGTCGGTTTCAGTAACCAGGACTTCTTGAACAAGGAAAAAGAAAGGTTCTCTAGTATAACATTGAAACGTGAAATGTGGATTTCTTAACACTCAAGTTAAATAATATTTAACTTGATAATTAAAGAGCTTTCTAGTTGTTGAAACTCACACTTTAACTCACTCAAGAGGAAACTTCTCTTACAACCCAAAAGGTCAAATGATATCACTCGATATTTCGTTCCAATTGTTTAGAGATTCACAATGAAAGAAATGAACCTATATAATAGGCTAAACACACTAAATTGCAAACGAATTAAAACAAAACTACAGATATCAAAATGAATCTAATCAAATCCTAACTACACCTTCCTTGCAAGATAATCCAGATTTGTCTTAAAAAATGTGAATATTGCCATGCTCCATCTCATAAAGATCACATTAAATATTTTGTGTTCCTTAGTTTTACCTGTCCATTGACAATTGTAATTATCATTAGTATGTATTCTTAGAGTAATTTATGGAACTATAGTATTGCTTCATCTAACCACCATGATGTTGGAAATCTATCAAATTATTACTCCCTCCGTCCCAGAGTATTTGTCTAGTTTGACTTTCGAGTCAAATTGGATAAACTCTAATCATAAGTTACATTAAATTTGCATTGCATATTAATACAATGAAATATTTTTTTTATAGTTTTCAGCAAGATAAATCTGGTGAAATCATTTTTTTACCAAAAAAACTCAAACAGGACGAATACTTTGGGACGGGTAATATTTGTGAAGATTGAAGTGAAAGGAATAAATTAATTTTTTTTAAACTCATTAAAAATGTTATAAGAAAGAAGTCTGGAAGTTACAAATTCCGCCGCCGGGTTTGTGGAATACTGCTCCTGATTTATGATGCAGAGCATTCAAAGCAGTTGTCCGATGCAATGCAAGTGCCGGTTTAGGGAATACCGAGGTCGGGTTTCTTCCCAGTGAGTTTGGACGCGCAACAATTGTGATTTTCAGCGCTAGGTGCCAGTTTTCTTCTCGGGCTTGTCTGCTCCATTTTTGCGACCAGAGACAATCTAACTGTGTTCTGGTTCGGCCTCTTCGAGTCCCGCTATCTTGGTTCGTATCATTCTCCCCTCTTCAATTGAGAAGAATTACAATGAAAGTTGGCTTTCTTTTTCTCCTGCATATATTGTTTCACTTCATCTTGGATACAAAGTTGGTCTTCTCGAACTTGCTTGGATGTCATCGCATTCAAACATTTTTTGTTTCCGTTCTTCTGGATTATATACCGATCCTCAAACCCATCAAGAATAACTTTGCGCTCATGGTTCCATGGTCAACCCAATAGAATGTGAGCATTATGCATGGGTACCGATAATCAACGGAACCTTTACTTGTTTGTTGACTTTTATTTCATTCCATACGTTCAACCTTGTCAAGTACAGTCTTGAGTGTTTCCATGTTTTTGTGCAACTACTGTATAGAACTTATTCCATTTGTGCAACTACTGTTGTTGATGATGACCGTACATGTCTTTTCCTGCTCTTGGCACTGTGTGAAAATTACTTTTCTCCAAATCCAGCATCCCTATTTTTTAACAATCGCCTGAGAAATGTAAGAAGTTTCATAAGAAAATTCTTCTCTTGACTCAACTTTCTTACTCGGGGAATCATTTTTTTGCTACTCTTCTCCTTCATTTGAGAACAATTAGGTTCACTGTAATACACCGGGAGACTCCTCTTTCGTTATTTTTAGAACTTATTCTCCTCGCTCTCATATTTTTCTTCCTCTGAATTTATTAGTTCTCCCTCAGTTTTGAAATCCTGATCATTTTTCAGATTCATAATTTAGAACAATAAATCAGGACATTGTGAAGCCTTGTGACCTTTTTCCCAAACACCTAAAACATTAGAATTCTTTCGTTTTATCCCTTGGTGTGTCAGTAGAAAAAAATATTTTGATCTGGATCACTATCAATGCTCAATGTCTCTGATAATACTTGTCCTTAATTCATGGAGAAAACACTTGATGGTTTCTTCCTTGGACTCTCGTACATTGGCCTGGTACATAAGATGCTCCATCTCTCGCTTATAGTCTTTGACAGTGTTGGTCCCATGTGTCAAAAAGCGTAATTGCATGCACAACTTATCATGGTAAGGGCGAGGAAAGAACTCCTCCTTCATGAGCTTCTTCAAGTTGGTCAGGCTTTAACTGGCTCTTCTTTGTAAAGCTCCCGTTCTCTGACAACCCGTCACCTCCACTCATGTGGATAACATTTGAATGTTGTAAGAGCATGCTTCAACTTGTTGTTAGGGTTGTAACAGTTAAAATCTGATTCGATAGTGTGTTCTCAACTCAGGTATTTTACCGGATCATTAGCTCCTTCGAAAATGGGTAATTGAAATTTATTACTGCTCAAATATAGTTCGTTGTCTTCATATCCTTCATCATTCAGCCAACGATTATTCCTCGAGCCCATTCTGATTAGCGGCTTGCTGACACTTCTCGTTTCATAAAAAGCAATGCTCTATTCAGATTTGACAAGTTTTTTGACGCTTCTTTGGCTAGACTAAGGTGATCCATTTCCCTGGAAATACTTTGTGTTCACTGTAATACATATTCCGTTTTTTTTACATTTTTTGAATTTTTTCTTTCTTTTATAATCCGTTTTTGTGACTCTTTCTTTTTGGCTATTTTTTTCCTTTTTTTTGGGTTTTTATACTCATTTTTTAACTTACAAAAATGGGACAAAATAAAAAAATAAATATTGACAAGGTAAGATAACATGAATGAGTATTTTTTTTCAGAAACAGATAGAACGCATGTGATAGAGATGAAGAACTATGTGTTTAACAAGATAGAAGATTTTGGCTTTCAGATCTGGAGATATGGAAACTCTCCCAATAAGGAGCTTTTGGATATTTCCCTTAATCCACAGATTTCAATTGTGATAGCCGCTAGCATATCTCCCTATCGTATATCCTCTTCTCTAAGAACTGTGCCTGTATTTACTAAACATAACAAAAAGTTTATGATCAAAGCTGAAAGTTTTGAAGTGGAAGTGGAGGGATGCTTGTTTTGAGTGATATCACCTTCTTTGCAACATTGAATGCATGATGGCTCTTTTGTTACTTGAAATGAGAAAAGGTATACAATATATAAATGTGAGAAAGTGCCAGTAAATTTTTTTCTAAGATTGTTAGGAAATCTTTGTATGTGTTAGTTTTTTTTTTGTTTACATAAGAAGCTCTAATGATGAGAATCTCATCAAAACTTCAAGTCCTTGTCCTCTTGGCTTTTCTTCGTTTCCCTTTACCCAAAAGCAGTTATCTACTACTCTAGTAGTCTAGCACGATTCTGTTTTTTTGTTTCTATTTTGTGTTTCCTGAATGATTATGATGTTCCCATTTGATTGTTGAAGAAGTATTTTTACCATTTTACCCTTAAACACTTGCTCATCACATTCTTTCAGGTATCCAACATTCTTTGATGACATTGCTGCTCGCCTGCTTCCAGTGATCCCTCTAATCATTTACAGATTTATTGAAAATGATGCTATGGATGCAGCAGATAGAGTCCTGCAGATCTATGCTTCTTTTCTCCATTATTATCCTCTAAATTTTACATTCGTTCGTGATATTCTTGCGTATTTTTATGGCCATCTTCCTGGGAAGCTAATACTCCGTATACTAAATGTGTTGGGTAAAAAGGTAATAATGACTTGTGTCGTCGTTATTGGCCATTCCTTGCTTGCTTCTTTGTCACTTGTGTGATTGTTGGATTATATTTCTTTCAGGTTCCATTTTCTGATCCATTTCTTCAACATATTAACTCAACTAACGCAACAATGTGCCCTCCTTTGGATTATTTTGGTACTCTGTTATTGGGTCTGGTAAATCATGTCATTCCTTCTCTAAATAGCTCGTCCAAAACTGCACAAACAGGAGATGTTTCAAGCAGTTTTGCCCGTGCTCCACCTACCAAGCCACATTTAAGTTCTCAACCTGGATCAACAAATTCTCTTGAAGGCCAGAAACCTTTCTATCAAATTCAAGACCCGGGAACTTACACTCAACTGGTGCTTGAAACAGCTATAATTGAGATACTCTCTTTTCCTGTCTCTCCATCCCAAATTGTCTCTTCACTCGTTCAAATTGTTCTGCACATACAACCAACACTTGTTCAATCGAGCAATGGACTACATGGATCTCCCAACAGTATTGGCCAGAGCTCAGTTTTGCCTACTTCTCCCTCTGGAGGAAGCACCGATTCACTTGGTTCAACCAGGATTGCCCCTTCCGTTCCTGGTTTGAATGCATCTGTTTTTGCCTGCCGCACTGGTTACACCTGCCAGCAGTTATCTTGCTTGTTGATCCAAGCTTGTGGTCTTTTATTAGCTCAACTTCCTCCAGAGTTTCATGTGCAACTGTATTTAGAGGCTGCACGTGTAATAAAAGAGAGTTGGTGGCTCACTGAAGGGAAAAGGTCTTTCGGGGAACTAGAATCTGCTGTTAGATATGCTCTATTGGATCCCACATGGGCTGCCCAGGACAATACTTCAACAACCATTGGTATGTGTGTCTTTGTGAACGTAAAGTTACGGTAATTTAACATACTTGATTGACTATGCTTCTCAAAAATGTATTTTTTTCTTCATCTTCCATACATTGAAGTTTCTATAAAGTTTGCTTTTTTATGTATGTTAATGTTAAATAGATATGAGCATGCATGCAATGAAAATTTGCAACCATGTTCTGATATGTGGACAACTGGACATTAAAGTTTGCAGAAGAATGAATCAAATTTAAGTTGAAATTGGATTTCCAAAAAATCTGCCTTTCCTAGGTATTCTAAGTGAAAGCTAACACGTAAAAAATATTTAGTCTTTATGCATTTGTTCTCATTGGCCATGTATTTTTCACAGGTTTCATCATACATCTTCCATCATTCATTAAGTGGCAGCTCTACGTGTTTTGCTTATCAAGATCTAATTGAGCAATTTTTTTAACACCTTATAGCATTAAACTTCATGAAAGAAAAAGAAAATATATATATTCTTATTTGGATTTAGAAGAATACGGAGTATCTTTTTAGTAATTGATCTTTTCCATTTCAGAGCACAAAAAGGTGTAGTTCAAGCAAGCAATATTAATTCTCTTTATTTCCCGTTTAGGTAATGTTGTGGCACTTCTACACGCATTCTTCAGTAACCTTCCACAAGAATGGCTCGAGGGAGCACACCTCATCATTAAACATTTGAGACCTGTGACATCCGTGGCAGTGTTGAGAATATCATTTCGTATTATGGGTCCTTTACTACCAAGATTGGCAAATGCCCATCCTCTTTTCAGTAAGGTATGGATTTTGCTTTCATGCTGATACGTGTTTCCAAATTATTTCTGATTTTTATAAATGGTTTACCATGGATAATTGTAAATTTAATACCTATTAGCTCTATGAACAAAGGCGCTTTTATTTAAGTTTTTCTTAAGTTTTAATGTTTAAGATACATCTCGCGCCAGTCTTTTAGAAAAATATAGATCGGACTGGCAAGGTGGATAGGAACTGAGGGTTTAACCCATTTAGATCCTGTGTAAGCGGCTTGTTTCAACCCATTTAGATCCTGTGTGTGTGTGTGTGTGTATGGGGTCAACTCCAGTCAGATGATCAGATGACGTAAAGCTCACCACTGCCAACTACAAAGCTCACCAATTGCCAATGCAAAGCTCACCTGGGATTAAAGCTCACCACTTTGAACACCAAAAAGTCACCCTTTTTTTAAACTTTTAAAATAAAAAAATTAATTAAAAACAAAATAGAAACTAAAGACTCATATGAGGGCCCCAAATAAACCAAAGAAATATCTTGAATGAAGAAAAAGCAGTAGTTTGTTCGAAGTTCTTTGGGCTATTTTGTTGAACACTTTGTGTGCCTCTTCCATGCATAAAAACTAAGCAAAGCAAAAAAAACCCGATCAAAGCTTGCAAAATTCACAGGTCCTAAAAGTTGAGTGCACATGAGCACTCTATGCGACGAAAGCTCACCGTGCACAATTGACAGAACAATTATGTTGTCAAGGCGTCTAACACGTGCCTCTTCCCATTTTCAATCGTCAGCACTCTCTCCCACCGGAGTCCTCTGTACTCTTTGCTGAAATATAAAAAATCTTAACTTTAGGAACCAATGAACAATGAACAGAGGAGGAGAATAAATCTTAATAATTGAAACCAATGAACGATGAACGGAGTAGGAGAGCAAATGTAAATCTTGAATGCCATAAACCTGAAACCATTGAATGTAGGAAAATGGAGGAACCAAGAATGCCCTGCTTGACAAATAACTGCGTGGATGGAAGCATAATTATATCTCAACTGCTATTTGGAGTTTCCAATGCATCTAGGGGGAGACGGAGGAACGGATGACCTTCCCGGTGAACGACTAAAGTAGCTGACTTTCAATAGTGATTTTATTTAGCCGCATTGGGATGATAAATGGATGTGCCTATCCCATGTGCAATTCCAAGGCATCCAACAGCTTGATGAAATCAATGGTGTATAAGGCACAGGTCAATGGGCGGGAAAATTTGACCAGATTTCCCCTTTCAAGGGGGGGGGGGGCAGGAGTGGGGGGTTTAGGGGGGTAGGAAT